CTCAAGATTCTAGGCTCTTTAATAAAACACAATTTTCTTTTCAGATAAGACTCACTTCAAGCATGACAGAAGAATATGCAGCACTGGTCTATAGGTAACAAAGGAAGAAAAATGGGTGGAAATCAACTCTCTACATCTGCTTGCAGGGGATTTCATCAGTCACTCATCTGCTGGTGGACAAGTGACTAATTTTAACATCAGATCAATGAATATAGACGTAACAGAAGCACAAAAGAGCAAGAGTACAGCAGCAACAAACAATTTTGCAGCCCTGATGCTTGGTGGTAAAAGGATTTTGTGGGTGGTGTGTGAGTGCGACCATCTGTTTATTTGTAACTCAATGAAGGCCATGTGGCTGGGACCCCTGGGTCTGTGATCAACCTTAGCATTTGAAGCTTAAGAATGGTTAATCCTAACTAATCAAAGCAAATTTACCAAGAATAGGAGGTGGTTCCGGTGAGGTTCAAATTACAAACCACCAAATCAAACAAAAGAACAGGATGAGTTATTCCTTAAGCACTTACTTGTAATGTGTAGGAAAAAAAATGTATTGTTAGGGGGACTTCAAATTTGGGAAACAGAGTTTTCATGTAGCCAATAGTAAACTCTATAACGAACCAGCAGTCTACAGTTCCTCAGGCAGTACTTACTTGGCTGCCATTGCACAGCTCACACTGCACTACTGGAGGGAAGCGAGGGGCTAGCAAAACCCATCCCTGCTAGAAGTACTGCCCACAGGATACTCACTCACTGGGCACAAGGAGTGGCCATACTGATTGGCCCAACCATATGATTTAAAACAAAATGAAGCACAAGAAATTGTCTGAACAAGTGAGACACTTCCTGACTGGTTGCTGCACTGGACCTGACTCTTGCTTTATTTCTGGTTCTGACTCCTAGCTTAGACTCTGGCTTTGACCACTAAGCATGACCATTAGGTCAGAATGCCCATATCCCAGTCCTGACAAACATCATTAACCTTTCTAAAAATCATTGATTATTTTCTAACACAAAAGGCATTCAATCCAATATAAAAATGGCCTTACTGGTCCATCCAGTATCCTGTCTCTGACAGTGGTCAATGCAAGATACTTCAGAGGAAATGAAGAGAACAAGGTAGTTTCAAATGACCTACCCTGTCATGCAATCCCAGTGTCTGGCAATTGGAGGTGTAGGGGCACCCATTGTATGTAATCATACACCTAACCAGTGATTTTTTTGTGATGGTACTGCTTGGTACGCAGTATCGGCACCTCCAAACTCAGTACCAGCACCTCCAGACAGAGCTCAACAACTTTTTCCCCTGGAGTACCAGCACCTTTTTTTTTTTAACAAAACACTGCATCAAACCATCTTGGCTAATAACTTATCCTACATGTACTTATCTAATTATTTTTGAACCAGTTTTATTTTTGGCCTTCAAAACATCCCATGGCAACAAGTTCTACTGGTTGACTGAAGAAAGGTAAATATTTTTTACATCATTATGGCAGATAAAGCTGGATTATTCACTGTACCGGAAGTTGCTGGTTGCCCAGGAACCAGTAATCATGACCTGATTACATTTAATATGGGCAATTATAGGATGGTCCCAACCTGCAATATATGTAGTTGGTACTTTAAAAAGGCTAGTTTCCCAAACTTGAGGACAATCCTGAGCAAAACTGAATGGAAGGAAAAATTTAGACAGAAAAATGTGAATGAAAATTGGGACTTAAGAAGGGTTTACTGGAGGATAAAAAAGTCAATATTCCACAATCAGAAAAGAGGACTTTGGCTTAAAATTCCACCCTAGTTCAGTGAGGAAATGAAGGGAGCAGTTAGAAATAAAAAGTGAGCTATAAGAAATGAAAAAAGGGGAAATAGAGAACAATCACTATAAATCAGAAGTTACAAAATGTAGAAAATTGACAAGGAAAACTAAATATATGGAGGGAAGGGGGAAATCCATGGCTGTCAGGACTAAGTACTATAGAGTTAAAGTATATCAGGAACAAAAGAAATCCTAACAGCAATATAGGCTTATTATTAGATGAAAATGGTAAAATTATTAATGATACAGAAAAGGCAGAAATATTAAATACATATTTCTATTCTCTACCTGAAAAAGTAGAAAGTGAAGTACTTTTCAGTCCAATAATTGAAGATGCTGCAACATCTTCTAACTAGAGATAAACATTTTAAAATCAGGAAGCCTAGGTAATTTGCACCCAAGAAGCCTAAAAAAATTGACTGAGGAGATATATGACCTGATTATGTTAATTTTAATAGAATATAAGGAAATTTCAGAAGATTAGAAGTGTGCTATTGTGCCAATATTCAAAAAGGGAAACTGGGATGAGAGAAGTAACTTCAGGCTGTTTAGTCTGACAACAATCCTGGGCAAAATAATGGAAAAAACTGATACTAGATTAAACTAATCCAGAGTATACACTATTGTAAAACAGTTAACTTAATATGATATGACTGTCTGATTTAAAAGATTACTATTATAAATATCAATAAAGCACAAGTTAAATGGAGTAAGTATTGTTTAACAGTTAGATATAAAATTGTAGCTGTCAGTGAGGAGTTACCATCAACTGAGTTTTATCAATGATGTGGAAGTAAATATAAAATCGCTGTTTATAAAATTTGTGGATGTCACAGACTGGTGAAGTGGAAAATAATGAGGCAGAGCAGTATAAGGGCACATGTACATAGCATGATTATTTCAGAATAACTCATGTTATTCCAAAATAACATAGTGCACCTTCATTTCAAAATAAGGTTGAGCTGGAGGACTTCTTACTTGGACTCATGATATCCCTCATTTCACGAGTAAGGGAAGCTGAAGGAAGAGTGTTCTTCTTTCAACTTCCTGCTGTGTAGACAGCGCCAAACACCAAATTAAGCTATTTTGACATAAGCTACACAATTGACGTAGCTGAAGTTGCATAGCTTAATTCGGCTTATGCCCTGCTGTGTAGATGTACCCTAAGTGTGCTCAGACCCAGCTCAGAGACTGGGCTCCCTTGGGTAAGCTTACATAAAATGGCTGGGGAAAAAGAATTTCCTTGATAACTTTTAATCTAGTGGTTAGAATACCCACATGGGATGTAGGAAACCCCCCTGGTTCAAGTCCCCCTCTGTCCTCCCCACACGCCACACACACACCAACCCCCTGCCCTGAAACGCCCCCCAGGCTCACAACCTCCTGCACCTTTCCACATTCCCACCCTCTGCCTTGAACCCCTCTTCAGCCCCTGTAAGAAATGTAAGTTACTTTTCACTCCTCCATGGCTCCCTTCCTCCCGCGCCCAACTGGAGATGCCCGGGGACAGAGACTGCTGGTGCCGCTGCTGCCCTACCCTCTCCAGGACAGAGCTCCCCAGCCACATGGCCCTGCTTCTCCCCAACCTGACCAAACTTGTTTATCTGAGTGACTGGCTGAGCAAGTACGACTGAGTGGACTTGTAGACTCTAAAGTTTTTTACTATTTTATTTTTCAATTCAGTTTTTTAATTTAATTCTAACATTTGTAAGGCCAACTTTCACAATAAAGAGATTGTACTACAGTACTTGTATTAAGTGAATTGAACAATATTACAGGTTGGACCTCCCTAGTCCGGCACTCACAGGACCTAACCTATCCTGAAGAAGCCATTGGCCAGATATGGGGAGGTCCCCTGCCACTGGCCTCACGCGATGCTGCCCCTCCCTGCAGGTGGCTCCGCTCTGGCTCCACTGCCACTGAGCTCTAGCCTGCAGGGCTTTGAAGTGGGCTCCACCCTGCTGGGGCTCCCTTGCTGCTGCGGTCCCAGGTTTCCCCCGCCCAACCAGGGCTCCCCGGGGATGGAGCTCCCCAGCCTCCACGACCCCGCTTCTGCCCCGCTTGACTGGGGATCCCCACTGGGGACGAGGCTCACTGATCCTGCTGCTGCCCCACCTGGTTGGGGCTCCCTGGGAACAGAGTTCCCCAGCCTCCACGGACCCCGTCCTTCCCCACCCAACTGGAGTTGCCTAGGGACAGGGACTGCTGGTGCTGCCACTGCCCTGCCCAGCCAGGGCTCTCCAGGACGGAGCTCCCCAGCCACATAGCCCTGCTTCTCCCCCACCTGACCAGGGCTCTCCAGGGCCAGGGTTCGCACTCCTGGGCACCGGGGCTCTGTGACCCAAAAACATCCGTAGTCCTGCTGGATCAGAGAATCATGGATTTCAGAGGTTCAACCTGTATTTATTTTGTTTTTTATACTGCAAGTATTTCTAATAAAAATAAAATATAAAGTGAGCACTGTATAACTTTGTATTCTGTGTTGTAATTGAAATCAATCTATTTGAAAATATCCAATAATATTTAAATAAAGGGTATTCTACTATTAACAATGAAATTAATCACACTATTAATTGTGATTAATTCTTTTAATCGCTTGAAAGGATCTTTACCATTTTAGGTAATTCACTGCCACCTTATCATTTGTCATCAATATCACAATAACAAATCTACCGGTTCAATGGCAACTTTGGGGCAATTATATGGAAGATGGTGTGTACTGAGCTTCAGGATTATCACACAGCACATTACGCCTGCCTAAAACACAATTCCTTCCAGATCTTTTTTTGAGGATACAGAGAATGTGTAATCTGCACCATCAATTAAGTTGCAGGTTGGTGTGGGAAAGGGGTGAGTTTCAGACTATGAACCCACCTCCTCTCTGCTTCTTTTTTACCAACTTGCTCATGGTGGAATGAAGTGGAAAGCAGGAACAAGCAAGTCTCCACGTTACCCATCCCCTCCTGTAGGAGGCCATTGTACCGTTACACAACAGGACACCCTTTTTGCACACCCCTTCATAGCTGAGCAAAGATCATTAACAGTTCTCTTTTACAGTACCACCACAGAGGGTTAAAAGAAAATTCTTTTGCAAACAAAGTTGATCTTTGAAAAAGACAATACATTTAAAAGTTAAGAGGTTAATTTACGATACATGGCTATAGCATGAAAAAACAAGTTACCTTACCTACAGATAGCTTTACACTTTCACCATGTGCTGATCGTTTTCTTCTTTCACTATTGGATACACTTTGAGAAGTGTGTTTATAAGGATATATCAAAGGCACTGGTAAATAATATTGCTTATTAAGTATTTTATATTTAATGTCCTCAGATTGTTTGTTTGATACAGCTGCTCTTCTAAAGTTTACTTTTAAATCCTTTCGTGCAAAGCTTAAATATTTCTGTTTTACCTTCCGTGAAGTTGACATGCTATGTGCCACCATTTCCCCCACTTGTCTTGAAGACTTTGCTTGTCCTATTTCTGGTGTAAATAATGCATGTTTAAAACTTACAGCATATTTTGTGGTTGGAAAGTCAAAATTTATCTTTGTAGGTTCTATGTGGTCATTTCTGGACGAATATTCTATCCCTTTCACTCTAAATACAGTACTTTCTTTTTTAGGTATATGTACTTCAGCCAGATTCCTTCTCCATTTCTGTTTTCTATAAGCTTCAGTTTTTAAAAATTCTTGTTTTCTTTCATGAATGCTCGAAGAATCAGTTTTATATTTTAGCCATTTTCCCTGCACATTTCCTGTGCCTTTTTGCAGGATCATTGATTGTGAAGAATATATCTGATTTTCATCTATAGATTTTGGAGTTTTTTTAGTTCTTTGTTCTTTGCCTTGAATAATTACTTTGCTTCCATTTTCTGGCAAGCTATTAAATAATACATCTATGCTCTCTTTATTTTTGTCTGGTTTTCCTATTGTGTCCATTGCACCTATGTCTTTCATATTTGGTTGACCTTTTTTTAATCCTACTGATCGTTTTTTCATTGAGTTTAAAATATTTTGCGTTTTACTATAAGGCCTAGTAGACATTCTTTCTGATTTTCTATTCCAAGTGCTTATTCCATTTGGTATACTGTTTATAGATCCAGTTATTTCCTGAAACACGTTAGGTGTATGTCCATATTTATGAAGTTCAATATGTTGACTTTTCTTTTCTGCACTTAATAACACTTTTCTTGCATCAGTTAATATTTTATATTGATCGCTGCTGATTGTATGAATTCTTTCCCAGTTCCATGTTTGATAACTCTTTTTAGCTGATTCCTTTTGTCTGACAAATACTACAACTCTTTCATTGGTATGCTTATTTTTTTTCTTTTTCATTGTTTTAGTTTGATTTTGACTACTTTTATTGAGCATCTGAAGTTTTACTACGTTTAATACCAAAATGCTTTCTAAGTCTTCCAGATTTTTTCTGCAATGTTTTCCTTTAACTGTTGATAGAAGATTTGCTGTCAAAAAAGTTGTATTAATCAACGATGACTTAGTTCTAAAGCATTTGTTAAATATACCAGAACTGTCAAACAACTTTCTTTGTAGTTGCTTTCTTTTCTTATTTGCAGTGTTCTTTTCAACAAATTGAAATTCATTCATTAGATCTGAATTAATTTTATGTTGACTTATTACCTTAGTATTTTCAGTTTTCCCAAGCTTTAGAATTTTTCTTGCTTTTTCTGTTAGCTCCATATTTGTTTCAGTTGAAGTTATTTTTCCATTTCCTGTCCTCTTTTTGGAAACATGTGTTTTCAAGCCTTCACTGGTAATGAGTTGTGGCTTATTCTGATTCATGAAAAAGTTTAAAATGTTATTTCGGGGCAGCTTGCCTTGGTGCTTGTGTTTGTCAGTTTTTCTTCTAATTGTTTCTGATGTTGTTTTAAAATTTTTGTAATTTCTATTAATTGTGGAAGTCTTCTGCCTAACACCATGAGAAATTAGAAGATTTTTTTTCAGTGTTGATTGTTCTGAGTTCCCAAGTTGTGATGTTTTATTTAAAGAATTGTTTATTGTTAGCACTGATGCTAGCTGACGCTCTTTTACATAACCTGCAACATCAGCAATAAAATAATTATAAATATTTTACAAAATAGATACTAATATATAATTATAAAACGCTTGACTGGGCCAGTAAAAATTGGTTTTGACTTGAATTAATTGTAAAGGTTTGAAAATCACACTTCATACGGGTAGTATATTATTTGTTAGCCCTTTATAACAACATATTAAGTGATAAATGGTTGTGTGCCACACAGAACTTATAAAACTCTCACTAAAGGCAATTGCAGTATTGCAATTGACCTCATGGGCTTGTATCAGGCCACACAAATTCCTCCTTAAATGTGCACTGAATCTCTTCCATTGCACAGTGAAGGGCATACTGTACCAGATAAGGATCTGTAGAAGTGCCATTGTATTTTAGTGTGCACCCTGCTCAAAACTCTACAGTGAAGGTATGTAATCCAATTTTTGCAGGCTAACTTTACTTTTTTTTCTTTAAAAAGAAAACCAAGGAAATTCTATTAACATAGCCAAAGTAAGTAAATATTAAAGTTGTCTGGATAAGCACTCAAATGTCAGAAAATGCCAAAGTAAATATTGCAGGAACAATATTAATTCAAGCTCTTTTTACATATGCAACCAAATTTTTAAAAATAGACATACATTTTGAGGTGCAATTTGAGTCACACTGGGCCTGATCTTTCTAATACTCACAAATACAACTGAAGTGAATGGGTGCAGTGTTGCATAGCATTTCTGAAAATTGGGCCCAAAGCATCACGGAGCACCCAAAAATAGTGGCTTTTTTTAAAATAAATTTGGCTTTAGAGTGTTTGCAAAGCCCTTAATCAGAAATTCTTCCTTAACTCTGCTCAGCAGACCTATATTCTTCTCAGGCTTCCTGTTTCTAATCTACTTGAATACATTTTTATTATGTTTTTTCCTATTTGGCTATTTGCTATTCAGATTTCCCCTCAGCTCTTAGGCTTGTCTATTACAGCAGTGTTATTTTGGAATAATTGATGTTTACAGTTACAAGCCTTAATTTCAAAATAATGTCAAGCTGGAGGACTTCTTACTCTGACTCATGGTAACCCTCATTTCACGAGGAGTAAGGAAGTCAAGGGAAAAGTCAAAGCTGAATTAAGCTATTTCAACTTCAGCTACACAGCTGAAGTTCCATAGCTTAGTTAGACTATAGCCCAGCTATGTAGAAGTGCCCTAAATTTACATTTTTCATGAAACTCTCAACTGAGATTCTCCCTATATCACTGATGCCTTCATGTACAGTACTATAACCATGGTCTTCTCCCTTTCTTTCACCAAGTGTCTAGAAGTCAGTCACTGGTTTAATCTCCAGTGTAATTTCTACCAAAGAGTAACTCCTGCTGGGGGTGGAGAGAATAGATGGAGCCATAGGTCTACAAAGATTCCCAAACTGTAGATCAGCAGTCCAAAGTGGGTCATGATCCCATTTTAATGAAGTCACCAAGGAAAGCATTACACTTGTTGGGACCCATGGCTGAAGCCAAAACCTGAGTCCTGTCACCCTGTGTTAAAGAATGGGATTTCAGTATGAGGCAGCTGAACCCTACCACCCACACCCTGAGTAAGGAGTGGGGAAATTCTGGCTTGTGGGCAGGATTCTGTCTGTAGGGTTAGTCCCTGGCAGGTCCCCACCTGTATATTTACCTGCCTCTCTGCAGGTATCAGATGATCACAGCTCTCATTGACCGTGGAGTGTCATGCATGGCCAATGGAAGCAGCGGGAAGCAGTGTCCTGGTCTGCATCACTTCCTGCCATTCTAATTGGCCATGAATGGCAATCCACAGCCAATAAGAGATGCAATCACCCGATACCTGCCAGGAATTAACCTTGGCAAGATGCAGTTTTTTTATTACCTGCCCCTACTCTGAGTTCTCTAGTAATTTTTATTGTCAGAACCAAGTAGTGCACTGAAGTTCAAGAAACACTGAGGTTCTGATCAGTAGCCACATCCACTCTGCTCTTACTGCTAGAAGGGAGATGTTTTCTATCTCTTCTCCCCCTTCAAAGTCTCCTAGCTACTGCAAGTCTCTCTCTATTCTGCTAGCTGGTTTTGTTTTAGGCCAGGGTTACTCAACACACGACCAGCCCACAGCTCATTTGTTCGGGGCCTGCAGCGCAGTTTGGGTTTATGCAGGGCTCATCACGTGGCCCACTAGTGGGAGCCAAAACAAAAAAGGAGTCAACATAATGGTCTTCTGTTGATATGCATTTTGGTAGTTAAATTCCTGGACTGTCATTGCTCATTAAAAGTGCTGTCATATGGGTGGAAATTGGGTAAATATTGCATTTTATTAATATCAGCAGAACTGATTTAAATGGGGCCTGTGTTTTGTGGAGTCTTGCCTTCATCTTTGCATTCATGCCCGTCAGTGTGAAATAAGCTATTTGCATATATTTTCATGTATATGCAACCACACTTAAGTTGCGGCCCACACTTAAGTGTATCATTGTGGCCCCCAGGACTTCCACAATTGTGTAGCCCTGTTAGGCTATTCATTCCACCACGGTTAGTGCTCCATGTAGCTTTCCCCAAGCAGCAGCAGTCTGAAAGTAAAAGAGTCCCTGACACTTTCACTACTACTGCCCAGGTTTGCTGTGACTCAGACCACAGCCACCCTAACTTCATACGCTTGCTTGCACAGCAATGCACCGAGGGGGGCGGGGAGGCGGGTTACTCCCGCTGAGCTCTGCTTCTGTTTATGAATATGGAGCGAAAGCTGCAGGCCACAACGCTGGGGCAAGAGCATCACCACAGAGCCTCTTACAGGGCCCCATTCATACTCAGAGCCCTCCCTAAGCGTGGGCCCTGGGCCTTCCTCGCTTCTCTAAGGAAGCTCCCGGCCCCCTCCCCGAGGCAGAGCCCAGCCCAGTAG